ATGGCCCAGTTACATATGATAAATTAACTAAAATATCTAAATCAAAACCGTGCAATACTTTTGTCCTCCCCCGGTATTTATTTTTATATACATTGTATAAATAAACTAACAATGAACTTTGTAATTGTGCTAAATTTTAAGTAAATAAATAATTTATTTTGTAATTATAAGTAATAATTGCTTTTAAAATTGTTTTTATTTTCGCACTTAATTTTGCGATATGATTATTATAAATCTGTTTCACACAACATAATTATTGTTTTGATTAATTAATATTGCTATACTACAATATTTCGTATAATCTTAATGATTCCATTTCAATATTAAAATAAAGATAATATTTATTGATAATTTTAAAATGGTTGACCAAGTTCTTTGCACTTGTATTTGGTGCCTACAAAAATCTAATGGTCAAGGAAAAATAGTTAGTCAAGCAACTCGTGTAAGACATAAAAAAAATCAAAATAAAACTTGGTCTAATCTGAAAAATATACCAGTACAACAAAGATATCTAGATACATCTATTCCTGCTGCTAATATCATATCTACTTCTCCGCTACCATTATCTGATAATATTTCAATGCTATCTCAAATAAATATAAATGAAGAATATCAGAATCATGATATTGAAATGATATCTGATGAACTATCTAATGAAGATCAAATTAAAATCTTAGAGAATGAAATTGATAAAATTGCGATATTAGAAGATGAAAAGGATAAAGAAGATGAAATTGAAATATCAGAGGAGGAAGATGAAGAAAATGAAGAAAATGAAGAGGATAATGAGGAAGAATATAATAGGGAATATAATGAAAATATTTCTGAAGATTTAATCAAAGGTTTACGACTTCTTAAAATTAAGGAGGAACATAATATCTCAGAAGTTGCATTTGATAAAATTCTTAAAGTTCTTGAAATTTCTAGAATATCACTTTATAAACTTCGTAAACTTCTTAAAAATATAATCCCATTAAAACCAATTCTTGTAGATTGCTGCATCAATTCATGTACTGCATTTACAGATGAACTTATTAATAAAAATACCTGTCCATATTGTAAGGAAGATCATTACAAATCTAATCAGATGCTCAAAAATATGCTGCTTATTGGTTACTTATGAATTCATTTCAGATACAATATATGGATTAAATTCATGCAAAAGCTCTTCTTTACCAATATAATTATACCTCAAAATATGAATATACAATTAGTGAAAAAATAGGTGATGTTTTTGATGATGATCATTATAAAAATTTAGTCACTTCTGGATTTTTTTGGATCATCAGGATATTGCTTTAATGGCATTCACTGATAGATACCAAATTTTTCGTTAAAAGAGAGATGATTGCTGGGTAATTCTTTTATTAAATGCAAATCTACCATCTGAGATACGTGTTCAGCGTGAGAACATGATAATATCTGCACTTATTCCTGAACCAAAAGCACCAAAAAACTTTAATTCATTTTTACGACCACTGGTTAATGAGTTAAAACAATTACAAGATATTATAAATAATGCATTTATTTATTATAATATATTACTTACTAACTTGTTATAATAAATATAGAAGGAATCTGATATTTTGATAGTTTGACAGAAAGTATATTCACACTTCATACACATATTCTGAGTTAGTCTGGTGACATTTCAACACTTACCAAAGTTATGTGTACAACTGGACATAATTCTTATAAAGCATGCTGATTTTACTCTATCTGTAAAGTATATAATCAAGAAAACAGCATGTATATTATCCACTCAAGCTTTCAACTAGTGAATTAGAAATAAATTATGATCCTGAAAACCATTGAGAATACATGAAGGTTATATACAAGATGTTATAGCTATAGAACTTGTAAATAAATTATTACGCAAACGTGAAATACAAAAAGAGGTAAGTAATCAATATTGAAAATGATATAAAATTGTAAAAGAATTCTATAATTATTACTTTTTTTTAGGTGTAAATGGTTGAAGTATTTTGTTTGAGCTTAAATCAATAAAGTTTTCAACTTCATTCCCTGTTGATATTATGCATGGATTGTTTGAAAATATTGCACCAGCAATGCTTCGGCACTGGACTAGTACTTTCTTCAAAGAGAATCAAGAAAATAATTATGATTATATTCTCTCTAGTAAAATTTGGACAGAAATTGGAAATATAATGGAGAAAAATAAAAAGAATAAGCCACTGGATTTTGGGCGTCCACCTATTAATATTCAACGATATTCAGCTTCATTCAAAGCAGAAGATTGGTCAAATTGGGTGATTTTATACTCACTCCCATTATTACAAGATTATCTTTCAGAAATGTATGTATTTTAATATAAATATTCATTATTTTTCAAGTTAAATCTTTAATATTTTAAGATTAAACCAGATATATAAATGGATGGGCCAAATTTGTGTATGCTGTAAAGCTTTGTCTCAAGAAAACTATTACTATAACAGAGCTAACAGAAATTAACAAACTTTTTTGTGAATTTGTTACACATTATGATAGGTTAGTCAAAACTTTTACATTATATTTCTTATCAGTTATTTTATTAAATAAATTTTATTTTATTAGAGAATATATTAAGAATAATTCCAGTCAGATTCCAGCAGTACTTATTTCTTATCATTATTGGTTGCATATTACTACTTCAATTCGTAATACTAGACCTGCATAAGCAACTTAGCAGTATCCAATAGAAAGATTATATAGAATGCTATTGCCTCTTGTGCGTTCTAGATAGCATCCCTATATAAACCTTTGAAATCAAATTACCATGTGGATTCAATTTTCACATCACTAGTATAAGAATAAAATAAACAAAAAGGTTTTTGGAAATGATTTGGAGAGAATATTGGATTATTCTGAAAGCCACATCTTTACTGTTGATGATGCTAAAGAGAAGTTGCTTTCACCATCATGTAGATATTGCATGAATAGGACTGAAATGCAATGTCTCAGAGCTTATTATATTACAGCATTGAACATACATGATAACCAGCTTGCAGTAAGTTAAAACTATAATGTTATAATCTTTAAAAAATATAACTAACACTCACTTTATTAAAGTCAATTACAGATTCTGTTCAAAAATATGGAAAACTTCAAATAAATGGCAAACTAGCGATTAATTCAAAGCTATCTAATTGCAAGTATGATGTAGCACACACAAACTTCTGCATTGTAGTATGTATATTACTTACTCAGATGCCCAATTATTCTATTTTAACTAAATTCTTTATTTAGGCAAAGCTTTTGGTTGATTGAAATGCTCATCGTAAAAATGCTCCAATCATTTTGGAAGAATAGGAATTGTTTGACGAAGTATAATATTATTTTTCGCACCAATATAATGGTTATTGGTCTATGCTGGCATATGTACAATGGGTTCGTAATCTCCAATCCACTGGCCATGGATCATTATATTTTCGGGATCTTGGTGCATTTGAAGTAATTAATGTTAATGCAATTGATAGAATTAATAGAAAAGTTGGATTTTTCAAAATGTCAAATAATAAACGATATATCATTGATCAAGAGAATAAAATTAGGTTTTGATAACATTCTGTGCATGGTATGTTTTCTAATCAAAATAGGATTTAAAGGCCTTCTATGCTTCGCTAAAGGATATCAATAAACTGATTTCATTTTTCACAAATTACCATTTATTTATATACTATATATCACTTGCGGTATTATTTTTGTTATTTATGAAATGTTAATTTAATTTGTTAAAGAATTTACTTATATTTTCCGTATTTATTCTGTTTACTGATTTATATATCAGTAATTAAACATGGAAAAAATCTGGATTGCCTGATTAATAAGTTTTTGCAGTTATAAAATATACTGAACATTCACTAACTCAAAAATGCAATCATGGAAAATTAATGAAAAACATGGAAAAAATCTGGATTGCATATTCATCTAGTTTTTGCGTCTATAAAAACACACTGAACATTTATAGACTCAAATACATAATTACGGAGATATTATGAAAGTATTTCAGAGTGACATTTTTTACAGGCTATTGTTAACGTGTAATTCTTGTGAACTACAACTGTTAGACGAGGTGTCAGAGTGTTATTTCTTTTTAATTGCACAGTAATCTTAAGTTTTTTACAAGTTGATTATTATGACTAATTCAAGTATAGGTTTCAAGTCAAGATTTATACGAGTATTTTACGATCAACAATTCATGAAGTACCGAGTAATTATATTTTCAAGTAAGAGGTTTATTGATAAGAATAGAAATAGAAATAAAGAAAATAAGTGATATGACAAGAAGAAAGAAAAGAAAAGAAAAGAAAAATAAGAACTGAAGTATGAAACTAAAATGTAACACAATAGACCTGTTTGCCTTTTAAAAACTACTAAAACTGACTTGTCAAATCCTACTTTTTACATGGCCTAAAAAGCTATCTATTTATATAAAATACAGTATATAGAAGGATATAACTAATATGTCTAATATATCGTATATGTCGAATATGTCTGATATGTCATATATATTTAATCTATCTAATATATTATATTTTTCGATCATGTCAGATATGTCATATATGTCAGATTTGTCAATTATGACAGATATGTCAGATATGTCAGATTTGTCAAATTTATCAATTATCTGTATCACATTGGTTCTATAATATTTTATTCATTCATATTATTCCCCGCTTAAAATTTCAGCTCCTGCAGAAATGTCAAGAGTTTTCAATAGAAGAGCCTGATATTCGCTAGACTTCAGTTGACGAACCATAGTCAAGGTTAAGCGTGGAGCAGTAAAGATTCATTAGACTCCTAAGTTTTCAAAGAGGTGATAAACTCAGATGGCAGTTCGGTAATAATGTTTCGTGAGCGTCACCATTTGTAATGTCCGTTGAGCAGGAGAAGTAGTTACGGCATCAATAAGTTGACCTAAATAATAAGCATTTACAAGAGACAAAAAACAATTCCTCATACGTGTAGAGCGAAGTAAAGTTTGATATGTCAATTGCACTTTTTGTGTCAACGTTGCATCAGTTTGATAAGATGGCGTTATTGGTTGAATTTTTTCATCGGCGAGGGTTAGTAGGGGCAAAATGGGGTTTCTGAGACAGATTTCAAAATAGTACTCAGAAAGATTCCTATCCGTTTACGAACCCAGTTTGCTATATGATTTCCAATATTAAATTCAATCCTCTAGCGCCTTTTAACTCCATTATAGATGATAATATCGAATTTGACTAGGAATTAGCCTATCTGATACCAGGAAGTATACTGTTTGATATAACCATTCTAGCCTGATTTTAATACCAAATAATATATCAAAAAATTTTTACTATTCTATTTGCCTTAGGAGGGCCCACCAAAAATCAAGGAACAAAGTGACGCGATTTGAGCTGGGTCTGACATTGCAAACACAAATTTAATAATAACTTTTATGTTATTCTGCTTGCTTCTAGAGGGCCCACTGAAAATCAAGGAACAAAGTGACGCGATTTGAGCTGGGCATGACCATGCAAGCCTAAAATACATATCATATTTTCATGATATCCTAAAATTAATTCTAAAGTTGATTCATTATCAGCTAGCAAAGTGACGCGATTTGA